GACCCACGTACCTCTGTCGTTGTGTCCCCAAACACGGTAATTCCCTTTCAACTACTTTAATCTGGGGACAGTCATGACTTTGACACACACTTTGGTGGGGCTCCCACTTGTGCTAATGGGAGCTGTGACCTATTGGTGGGGTGAGGAAAGTGGGTCCCATGGGTTCTGGATGGAGGCACCCCATGTCCTGGCCCCTGCGGGTCCAGCAGTGCCCGTGGTGGCCTGGGGCTGTCCAAAGTGGCTCTTGTTTGCCCGGTGGCACCTCTCTGGGGTCCTGTCCCGAGGTGCCCTTGTGGTGGCAGCAGCCCTGTGCACACAGAGCCATGTTTAGAAGTGGAGACAGCTTGTCCTTGGCGAGACTGCTCAGAAAACATTTCTGTGCTCCCTGCAAGGGTTCTGTGCTCCTTGGATGCTGCAGCCGCCTTGGCTCTTGTCTGTGGTACCGGTTGCACAGGCTCAACCATAGGTGTGTGTTTTGGGGCTTTTAAAATCCAGTTACATGCCTCATGGCTGCTCCAGCCCTGAGTCTTTCTGTGCTCCTTCCCCAACCAGCGCTAAATCAAAACAGTCCAAACTGCACCCGGGTGCTGTTTGTGTTGAGAAGTTTAGCAGGGCTGAAGACACAGCGATGACACCAGCTCCCAGCACCTCTGTTCAAAGAGGTGGTTTTCGTTCTGTGCCTGTGTCACAGTGCTGGGGGTCTGGTGGGTGTTAGGGCTGCTTTTTCCCTGCAACTTGAGCCCAAGGGGAATGACCAGAGAGCTGCTGGGGCACAGGAATACTCCCTAATCATCCAACAGCCTGTAAGGAGATGCTGGTGGCAGCTCTGCAGGGCAGGAGCACGAGCCCCAGCTCTGTTCTCCCGTCTCTGGCCAAGAAGGATCCCTGGTGATGCACAAGTGCTTGACCCTCTGTCCTGCTCTGCACTTGGGAGTTTCTGCTGTAGAACAAAACCCTGCTGTTGGACTCGGGAGCTCTCCTTAGTTGGAGCCCTTCAAAGCATTAACATCTCTCTGCCATTTCCTGTACCAGACACTGGGTGATGGACGCATCCTGCTGCCAGAGGGATTCCTGCTCAGCAGGAGCCTCACTTTTTGAGGCACAGAGCTAGGAGAGGCCAGTAACACCAGGGTTGTCTTGGAGCCCAGCTGGTGTTATGGTGGTGGCTTCAGAATAGCTGCTTGGAAAGGAGACCAGGGCAGTTTGCTTTCATTTTGCAGTATCTTGGCATGCTGACGGAGCTGCCTGCTCAGGGTTAGGCTGGTGCTGGCAGCAGTGGCACAGACCAAACCTGTGGTTGTCCTGATGTGGCCCCAGCAGCAGGAGCACTGCAGGGTTCGGCCGTGCTGCTCCATTGGGCATGAACTTGCTGCTCGCTTTCATTATCTCTGTGAATGAGCAGGAGGCATCTTTGCTCTCTCCCCTGCGTGGGCTGTATGGGCTGGGTTGGATGGTCAGCGTGGTTGGGCAGCTTCTGCTGTAACTCGGGGTGGTTAACACTTGGCAGTTTAAAATCTGAATTTCCATGTCTGATGCGGGTAACTGTGTCCATTTAGTCATTTGGCCTGCTGGCAGTTGTAGCCAAGCTGTGCTACTCGCATTGTCTTCCTGTTTTCCATTTTCTTCTATTGCTCATGATCTGGGAACTGTGCAAAGCCCTTTGCATCAGGCTCCCCATGCAAAGGGCTGGCCCCATCCTGCTGAGCGACAGAGCATCCCCTGGCAGAGGAGCTGATTTCTCCTGGCGTCTGTGTCGGTGCTGTGCTGGCTGAGCAAGGGCAGGGATGGGGACAGCACACAGCGCTCACAGCCTCCTTGTCCTCCTCCCTTGCCTTCTCACGCCAGCTCGGGATTAGTAACGGCTATTTCTGGGCTGCTCTCGTGAGTAATGGAATGAATTGTGCCAAGGTCTGGGGTGGGGACGGTGCCTCTGCCCACTGAGTCACCGCTCGGCACCACGCCGGGATCCCGAGCTGCCGGGGCCGGAGCTATCCTGGGTCAGGGTGGACAATGGAGGCCGTGGGAAGGGGCTCTGGATGCGGTGACTCCTCAGCTTGGAGCATCGGGACCACTGCAGGCAGGGGAGCAGGGGTTTGGTTTGGGTTTGATGTCCAGCAGACGGGACACAGGCAGATCTGTGTCTGGCAGCGGGTGTTTGTCTGGCCGGGTATCCGCTGTTCCTTGCACTGCAGATGTGTCTCCTGCTGTGCTGTGGGGATTAGATAGCGGCGCATCCCACACCACTGTTCTTCCTCTGTTTGTCTTTGAGATACAGAGTCACAAAACAGCAAATCCCGTTTTGCTGTGGGTGAAAGAGCTGTCTAAGTAAATAGGCTTTTTCTGTTTCAGTAAATAGACTTTTTTGCCCAGAAACTCTCCTTTTCCTGTGCTGTGAAGGTGATGGCTGGAGGCAGAACAAGCCTTTGGTCAGACTAGGATGGTTTGCAGGGGGGATGTATTTCTTGTGTCCCCAGGGATACACTGTCCTTGAGAGCTTCCCCCCCTCAGGTGGGCAGGGGACAGCAGACTCCTCCAGCCCTTTTATCTGCCTCCATAACACGCATGTCCTGTCTCCTCGGGATGAGCTCCTGGCTGCTGCCCATGCTGGGGGCTGTGGCATCCCTCATCCAGCTGGGATATGCAGGAGGACACAAGGAAGGGGGATGGGAGCCTTGCTGGGGGGTTCCTGTCCTCCCTCAGCCCCCAGCAGTGGGACCCTATGGGCACTTCAAGCTTTTTCTTCAACTTCAGTGATGCATGAATGCACTCACCCTTTGTAGTCTCATGCTGTTCCACTGGGATGTGTGCTCCTCCTGGCTGAGGAGTGCCAGATCCTGCCGGATACAGCCCTTCATCCTCACTATTCTCACCTTGCAAGTGCCAACTTCGCTATTTTTATTAAGGGCTGCACAGCACGCCAGCCCCCAGCTCTTCCTGCTCTGGTTGAGCTGCCAAGATCCAGGGCTGTGGCAGGGTCTGGCCAGGAGCTGGGTGAAATCTTTCTCTCTTCTGCCCCAAACCCCTGCTTGGGCAGTTTGATTTGTGAGAGCTGGTCCCTACTCATTCCCCAGGGCTCCTGCAGCCCCGGGGAGCCCTGTGGGGAGGTTTCCTCCAGGCAGGAGTTTAGCAGTGATTTGCTGAGTGTGCAGATGAGAGGGGCTCTCTTCAGCCCGTGTTTGAAATGCAAGGCAGCCGCCGAGTCTCATTCCTTAATCCTTCGCTCCCAGCTAATTGTGATGCAGCCTTATGGGGCTGTTTTCCTTTCCTCCTTTTCTGTAGGCTCCGGGTGAGTGTGATTGCCCCAGGAGAGGACAGACACCAGGCTGTAGTTAAGGTTTGGTGTCGTGCCAAAGCCCCTCTCCAGGTTTCCTGGAGCCCCTTTAGGCCCTGGAGCTGCTCTAAGGTGTCCCCTTCAGGAGCCTTCTCTTCTCCAGCTGCCCCAGCCCAGCTCTCTCAGCCTGGCTCCAGAGCAGAGCTGCTCCAGCCCTCGCAGCAGCTCCGTGGCCTCCTCTGGCCTCGCTCCAGCAGCTCCACATCCCTCTTGTGCTGTTGCCGCAGAGCTGGATCAGGAATGCGGGGGGGGGTCTCCTGCAGAGCTGGGGGGGTGTGCGTGTGTCATACTTGCAGGACTGCATCATTTTCACTTGGGGCGGGTGATTGCGCCTTGGTGAGACCCAGAGCCCTGCTTGTGCCCTGGGGAATTCATCATCTAAACACAACCAGCACAACTGGTTTATTGTGATGGATCGCTGCGTGCCTCTGAGGTTGTCAGAAACCCAACCTCTGGGGTGGTGGCACAGCAGGAAGGCCAGTGTGGAGGGGTTGGATGATGGCCGAGAGCCTGGCTGGGGAGGGCAGAACAGTCCAGGGGGTCCCTGCATGCAGCCACCAGCCTTCGCCTTGGCTGAGCATCAGTGTGGTGGTTCTCCTGGCTGTAGCTGCAACGATGGGTGTAGATGGCTCCAGTCAGGCTGGTTCTTGCAGTGCCTGTGAGCTGGTGCGTGCAGGAGCTGGTGATGTGCCCCGAGGGTGTCAGGAGAGCCCCTGTCCCTGGGGTGTGCCCAGATGCTTGTGTCTGGGGCCTTCCTGGGCAGTTGTGCAAAAGACTTTGGGGCACAAGGGGCAAAGAGGGGGCAGGAGCATGGACCACTCATGGCTGCGCTCTTGTCCTCACAGCGATGGCAGCCATCAGGAAGAAGCTGGTGATCGTGGGAGATGGTGCCTGCGGAAAGACGTGTCTGCTGATTGTGTTCAGCAAGGACCAGTTCCCCGAGGTCTATGTGCCCACCGTGTTCGAGAACTACATTGCTGACATAGAGGTAGACGGGAAGCAGGTAAGGGCCGTTGTGGGTGCCGGAGCTGTTCCCATCCCCTCACTCCTGTGTTGGCATTGCCACCATCCATCTTTGCCCCGTGGCTGGGTCCGTGCAGCTCGGACACACTCGCAGCTCTTGGGGGAGCCCCATGGTGCTTACATTTCTGGTTCTCCTTGAACCCAGTTTGAGGAAGACCGTAGCTATAGCTGAGGAAGATCAACCTGCTGGGTCCCGGCCTTGTGGAGACACCTGCGAGCTGCTGACCATATCCCTCTTCCCTGCCAGGTGGAGCTGGCCCTGTGGGACACAGCAGGACAGGAGGACTATGACAGGCTGCGGCCCCTCTCGTACCCGGACACAGATGTTATCCTCATGTGCTTCTCCATTGACAGCCCGGACAGCCTCGGTAGGGACCAGGGAGTGATGGGGAGACTGGGGGCTCCCACAGGATCGGGTGCTGCTGCTAAATCCCCTGGGCTCCAGGCATCTCCATGCTGCCTGTCCCTTCCCTCCATCTCCTGGCTTTGTGTGCGCTCTGGGAAGATGTTGGGAACATCCTGGCTTGCTGGATGTGGTGGGAGAGGAGGATGGTGTGGGAAGTGGGGAAAGCCCAGTGCCGGTTCCCACGGCTGTGAGGAGGCCGGGGGGGAGCAGCCCCTTGACTCAAGGGGGTTCCTGTGTGCTTGTTGCAGAGAACATCCCCGAGAAATGGACGCCGGAGGTGAAGCACTTCTGCCCCAACGTGCCCATCATCCTGGTGGGGAACAAGAAGGACCTGCGGAACGACGAGCACACGCGGCGGGAGCTGGCGAAGATGAAGCAGGTCAGGACAGCTCTGCGCGGCGCTGGGTGCTGCTGCCTCGGCGAGTGATCCACCGCTCCCGGTGCCGGATCCTGGCACGAAGGGCTGGATCCACTGTGCTTTTACTGCTGCTTTCTGATGACGTTTCCAAACCCTCTGTTTAATGCTTCCCTAGGAGCCGGTGAAGCCGGAGGAGGGGAGGGACATGGCCAACAGGATCAATGCCTTTGGCTACCTCGAGTGCTCCGCCAAGACGAAGGAGGGCGTGCGGGAGGTCTTCGAGATGGCCACCCGAGCAGGCCTGCAGGTCCGCAAGAACAAGAAGCGCCGGGGCTGCCCGCTGCTGTGAGCAGCCCGTGCCCGCGGGAGAGCGGCCGGAGCAGGACCACACGGGGCCAGTACCTGCCCTGAACCCCCTGCAGAGGAGCTGCCACACAAGCCTGCGGGATGATGTCCCTGCGAGGCTCCAGAGCCACCAGTGCCTTCAGTACCCACTGCTCTCTTTGGGTGGGCATTAGCATAGCTCCCCGTGTCACCCCGGTCTGTACCCATCTCCCTGCTTTCGCCTCTCCCGTGGGGATTGTTGTGGTGTTCATGCTCCCTCCCCAGCTCCATGCAGGAGCCACAGAGGTGGGGAGGTGCTGCTGGCTGTGCCCACAGCTCCAGTGTGGGGTCTGCTGGGCCCTCAGGGTGCTCTCGGCCGTGGGGCAGCACACAGTGTTGTATACAGACTTGCCCAGGGCAGCTTTCAGCCCATCCATGTGCAGAGCCTCCAGCAGCGCTCTGCTCTTGGGACCTGTGCTGGGGCAGCACCTCAGCCCAGCTCTGCCAGTGCCACCTCTTTGGGTCTGCCTTGGTCACAGACTGAGCACCAGGAACTGCCGAACTGGGACAATAAATGCAAACCTGTATTTTACTAATTGTGGCTCTGCTTGTGCATCCTTCAGGCTGCTGCTGCCTGGGGCCACGCGCTGTGGACCAGCCCCTCTTGCTTCAGCTGCTTGCGCAGGATCAGGGCTCATCAGCACTTGTTTGGGTAAGACCCAGGGAGCAGCTCACTTGGAAAGAGCCGGGTGGGAGCACCCCAGCTGTACCAGTTGCTGGTGTAATGGGCGCTACGGTCACTGCTGGAGCCATCCCTCCTCTGTAACCATCCTGGAGCAGGGCTGCAGCCAGCCTGTCCCTGCTCTGGCAGCCCCAGCGGCGGGGGCAGGGGCTAGGACTCAAAGGCCCCCTCCCCTGGTACCCACGCGGGGGCGGGCCTCCCGCCAGCCTGTCCCTGCTCTGGCAGCCCCAGCGGCGGTGGCAGGGTCTAGGACTCAACGTCAATACTCTTTATTCTCCAAACGTTTATTCTGGGGAAACAAAGTGAAATGAACCTGCACAGCCCTGACCACTCATGGGGTAGGAGAGCAGAGCCACCCTGTGCCCAGCCAGCTCCCTGCCTGCGCCCCAGGCACCCGCTGCAGCGCTGAGCTCCCCCCTGCACCCAGCGGTGCTCTTCGGAGGCTGGAATCTCACTGAAGCCATTCACTGAGTGGTGAGAGCAGTCACCCAGAATTGGCTTTCCATGGCTGTGTCATGTCTGAAGTGGAGAGTGGACCCAGCCCAGTGCGGATGCGGTCCCACTCTGGGAGAGGAGGTGTTTGCCCCATGGTCCATGCCAGGGCTCCTGAGTGGCACGAGACTCTATCCACAGGGATGCACTGGGGCAGGGGGAGAGCAGGCGGCTGCTGCAGGCCAGGGGCAGGCTGAGGGATGCTGGAGCTCCACGGGGCTTCTCCTCCTTTCCCAGGTGGGTTTCCTGCAGAGAACCCCATGGCAGAGCTGGCTGCTGGCTCAGGAGGGGACAGCCAGCCCCCAGGGAGAGCCTGTCCTCAGCCTTGTCACGTTTGCTGCAGGAGAAGCTTCCTATGCCCCTCACCCACATGTCACTGGTGCTGGTCCCACAGGTCCAGCTCTGCCGCTGCTCCCCCCTTCCTGCCATGGCTTCACCAGCAGCTCCAGCCCTGCTCACCTGGGTGCTAGTTGCCGAGGTGCAGCGCGTGGAGGTCCGCGGTGAGGTCGTCCGCTGCCTGGCTCTCCTCCTCGTAGGGGTACCCTGTGTAGCCGCCCTCCTCCCTGCAGTACCTGAGGAACCTGCGGGCACACAGCGAGGGGAGCATGGGCAGGAGGGTGCCACTGGCCCTGCTGCCTGCATAGCACTGGGCATGTCCCAGCATCGTCCAGGCACAGCCAGACAGGGCTCACCTCTGCCAGTGCTGGTCCTTGCTGAGCACGGCTGGGTTACCCACCACGATCAGCAGAGCTTTGGCCCTGGTGATGGCCACGTTGAACCTCTGAAAGGAAACAACGAGGGTTTTACCTGCAGCAGCACCTCTCAGCCCCCTCCCCAACCCCATCCAGGTGTAAGCAGCTCTGGCGTGAACTGGGGGTGCCAAGGGAGAGGGGCCTGCTCCAGGGAACCCCAGGTACCTTGGGGTTCTTGAGGAAGCCCAGCTTGAAGTTGTGGTCGAGCTGGAGGTACTCGCTGCAGCTGCGCACGGTGGAGATGAGGATGATGCGCCGCTCCTGGCCCTGGAACTCCTCCACGGAGCCCACCTGGGAGAGCGGGCAGCAGGCAAGGGGCTGGGGAGCACCCGGGGTGCTGAGCAGGGTGGGTTCCTCTCCCCCTGCACCCAGGACTGTACCTTCAGCAGATTGATGTCCGGCAGCGCCCGCAGGACAGGATCCAGGGAGGTGATGGCTTTCCGGATCTTCTCCACCTGGGAAGAGGCACATAGCACGGGCCAGCTCATGGAACTATGCCCATCCATCCCATGGGGAGGTCTCTACCCATCCCCTGCCTGCAGAGCCGTGCCCTTACCTGCTTCCTGTAGGGGGAGATGATGCCGACCTCCTTGGGGGACACACTGGGGCAGCCCCCCTTGCCCCGGCTCTGCAGCAGCTTCTTCAGGTAACGGACCAGCACCTCGATCTCAGCCGTGTTGAAGAACGAGGGGCTCTTGGCCTCTCTCTGGTCTTCCCCACAAACCCCATGGAAGATGATGGGGAAGCCCTGGAGGTGGAGAGAGTTGGGCTCTGCCCCACCTGCAGCTTGGGGCTCCCCTGTTCCCTTTCCTGCGTTTCCCCTCACTTTCTTGGGAAGCTCCTCCCAGTTACAGTACAGGCTCCGGACATCAAGCTCGTCGCTCTCGCAGGCCTTCAACTCGCTGTCGTAGAAGAGTTCGTTGGGGATCCTCAGGATGGCCTCGTGGGACCTGCGGAGGGAGGACAGTGCCCAGGGTGGGTGCCACACAGCCCCAGCATGGAGGACAGGGGGTGTGCCCCCATCTTCTGCACCAGCCAGGCCACCACAAGGCTGTAGGAAGCCAGAGCCCATGGTGTGCACACCAGGCTGCCCCCAGCAGAGCAGCCCCATCCCCATGCTGTCCCCTTCACCTGTAGTTCCAGAGCAGTTTGGTGACAAACTGCGGGTCGTATCCTCCACTTGACTTCTTGTACAGGAGGTTGTGCAGCATCAGCCTCTCCAACAGCGAGGTGCCTGTGCCCAACAAGACCCCATGGCTCCCCGCAAGGCTGCTCACCCCCTGGGTGCCAGCAGCACTCCCTCCCCTCTCCCTTCTCACCCAAGCCATGCTTGATGGCCAGTGGAGACGTCAGAACAGGGCCCAGCTGCTGGGGGTCTCCTGCCAGCACCAGCTGCCCCCCGTTGGGGTTGGTTTCCTGGTCCATGGCAGTCAGGAGCCCTGTGCAGAGGGAGGGCTCAGCAGGGGAAGGGGGGTCCCCAGGAGAGCAGCCAGGCACCACTCACCTGCAATGGCGACCACGCTCTCTGGCTCTACTGCCTGGCCACACTCGTCGATGAAGACATGGGAGAAATACCCTGGGGGGAAGTTGGCCGACACCAGCCTGGGGAGGAAGTGGAGCGAGGCTGCCTTGGCATCCCCTCAAATCCCCTTTGTCCTCATCCTCCTGCAGACAAGGGGTCCCTGCTGCTGCCCACCTTCCTCTGCACACTGCCCCTGCCTTAGGAGGTGGGAACAATCCCAGGTCCTCTGACCTTCCTGCTGTCACCAGCGTGGTGATGAGGATCCGGTAGTGCCCCAGGTGCTCCTTGCTCGGGTACACATAGCAGCTCTGCTTATCGTCCCAGTTGCAGCAGGGCTGAAACACAGAAGGTTCGGTGGGATCCTGCTCTCCCTGGGGCCGCCAGCCCAGATGTGCTGGGATGGAGGGGCTGGGACTTACCCTGATCTCAGCAGGCACCTCCTGGTAGTTCCTGGAGCTGGCGATGAGCCTGTAGATGTGCCGGGGGGCAATGTCCTTGATGAGGCGCTGGCACAGCAGGTCTGCAGCGCTGTTGGATGGGGCGCACGCCAAGATCCGGGCATCCTTGAAGCACGTCCATACCTAAGCAGGAGGAGGGGGATGCAGCACTGAGCTCCATAACCAGCACCAGACCTGGGCACCGGTCACTCACCTGCTTGATGGCCTCCACCAGAGTCACTGTCTTGCCAGTGCCAGGGGGGCCGAAGACGAGGTACGGGGCTGGCCGGGACATCCCTGTCATGATGTGTGTCACAGCTCTGCACTGCTCCTCATTTGCCTGCAGCTTGCGGTCAAACCACCTGCGGGAGCAGAG